AAGTGGACACAATCACCGTCGCAGGTACAATCCAGTTTAAACTTTTCCACAATTTCCTCAATATTTATAAAATTAGGAACATTATGCATAATAACTCTAGGTGTGATAAATTTCTTGTACCGTATTCCTCAAATTTTGCTTTCTTCAATCGCCTTAAGAAGTTTCTTCGCATCATTCTTATCCTTAACCCTTATAACAAAATCTCCATTTTTCTTATAATAAGAGTTCAGAACTTCGATATTCGCATCCTCTGGTTGTAAACAGGAAGATAATTCATCAAAAACATCAATAACAGTAGCAGTAGATTTCAAATCACTTCATTTCCTCCATTTTTTTTTCCTTTTCATCATTCCTTTCCAATTTGACATTTTCTCATCCACTTCCTTTATTTTTTAATAGATCTTTAATTTCAACTGCATCTTTCCTAATATTCTTCATTTTGTCACATCCGCTTTCAATAATATCAGCTCCAATCATATTTGCACTATGCAACATTGCAATATCCAATATCCTATCAAGTGATGCATTCATTCCATCCAAAATTGCTCTTGGCTCCCCTTTTTTAAGATCTGGTATCCTCTGCATGAAATTATAAAGTTCCTTAACTACAATCAATAACTCATCAGAAGAGACAACAGTTTTTTTTTTTTTTTTCAAAATACTCATTTCAAAGTTATCTTTTTGCACTGTTACATCTCCTTGAGGTATAACATCATTCAAATCACATTCATTTTTAATACCAGTAGTTTTATGCTAATTCATAACCACTTAAAATATTCCGCCGTTTTTAGAACTCGTTTGATTATTAAACCACTTCTATCGTAAAACAAATTATTTCACCACGGCAAGGCTTTAACTATAAAATCTAGTAAATAAAACCTCGAAAACACATACACATGAGCAAAATGTCCACAACCACACAAAATCTATGTACAAAATGCAAAAATGCAAAGTTCAATGCTCACGAGAAGGGTAAATAACTCAAAACCCAAAAATTTAAGTCTAGTGATAATTTTAGCTAATTTTCAAAAATTCGCCCAGCAGGCGAGATTATGCTGAAAACTTTCTCAAGGAAAAAAGTCAAATCAAAACTCGGTGACTAAATTCACTTTCACTCCAACTTGCTTAAATGTAAACGCAGTCCTCTTCATTAAGCCTAACTGCAGTTAGAATTTTGACACTCTCGTACTTTTAAAAGCAGTGCATACAAATACAAAACCCTGATAAAAATGCAAACCAGAGCACTTAAGCAACACAATAAATGCATTTAAAAATCTATTTACTAAAAAATAATTGTTCGAATGTAAACATTAGCTTCGTCACCAAGCCAACCACAGCTAGAAAATTTAAACACTGACATCTTCATATAAGTCCAAAATATTGATAAAAATGCAAACCGCTGTACTTAAGCAATACGATATATGTAATTATAACATAAAATATAGTCTATTTAGGAAAACGTTAGACAAAATAACGCGAGCTCACAAATCTGCCGCCAAACACACCCAGTGAAGCTGTTGCCAATGCAGCAGTTGAGTAATAGCTGGTTTAGCTTTAAAAAAAATGTGAAGAAGGTATTTTAAATTCCTATAAGTACAAATTGAAGTCATTGATCATTTATTTGTAAGCAAAGAAGTCCTCAACATAGAACATAGATCGTTTCCGACCACATATTTTTCTGCTACTAAATTAGTTTCTTGATAGATTTTCGCAAATCTTGCCATCCTGATTAATTCTGTCAGTGTGATTCTAATTTGAATGTTGACCTGGCTTTATTGATCTAATTTCTTGATTTTTTTAACTCTATATCACCCCATTCCATTATGTACTACAAGATCTAAAATTTCACATTACAGCAAATTGCCTTTGCTACTAAGTGAGGTAACTCCTTTTGATTGTGTCGACTTTTCCCTTGTATCGGCAGTGCGGCTATTATACACTGAATATTCAAATTCAACAAAACTGCCTTATTTCACCTGTGCTTATTGTTAATATAATCAGATAGAACGCAGTTTTTTGACACCATTCTGTTGATGTCGATTTATTTTATTTCAACAAATGCAGACATTTTAAAATAGCGCATGCCTCTTTTTTAAATGTCGCGTTTAAATAAATTTATGCTGCTAGTTACATAAATCAGGTATGCAATTTGAAAAAACATTCAAAGAGAAAGTTATATAACTGTTCTAAATATACCTTAAAACAATAGCGCATGTCATTAAAAAACAATAATCGATCGCAATATAAAACATTCCTACAGCGCTGATCTTCTGGTACAAACGCAGTGAAAGGTTTGGTTACCTAACAAGAGAGATGCCTTCGTGGCGGACTTCCTAATAGAGAGTAGCTCATACTGATGTTAAGCATAGGGAAAACTATGATACCTCCCTGCAGATAGATTTTTCAACCACATAATCGAATTATTGGTTTTATCTACTCAGCCACTAATGGGTGCACAGCCAAATTCCTCGCTTATAATGCATAAAAAATGCGCAAATAACTGTATTTGTATGACACCAGAGTTTTCGAGATAAATGCGAAAGAAAAGTATAACATCATACCCGTCACATTGCCTGTGCTTTCAGCATGATGAAGCTCTACCACGTTTCAGCACTCCTGCACGTTATTGGCTGGATACGGAATGCCCAGGTAGATGGATTGGACGTAAAGGTTCCACTGTGGCAGCCATAATCGCCAGATCTGAAACCTTTGGATTTTCTTCTTATGGGGCCATCTCAATAATGAATTGGTCCATTAAGATATACAGTTACAATAGAAAGTAACTTTTGTTGTTCTTCATGCTGCGTGTACTTTAGTGAGGAACACGCTGCTGCAACTTATGCAGTAAGCCATTCCACAGTGAGCATATACATGCCTCGATATGCGCGGTGGATCCTGGTTCGCATCTTTACTTTTGGTATTAACTACTAAGAGTTTTAACCAGTATCCTGAAAATTATTACCATTTAGACATGTGCTTGGTTTAAAAATTTAAAGATGTACATTAGTACATCATCGCAAGAGGCGAACAATAATTATGAAAGCTCATGAATTTAGTTAAATCCAGACTTTGTAGATATAACTCGTCAAACGATACGTTGGCGTCGAGACAGTCAGAGGAGAAGTCATGTGATCTTTAGGGGACACCTGATTGCTTGAGTTCGATGTTAGCCGAATTCAGTTAAAGTTCGTAATTAAGCTAAAATTTAGTTTAAAATGAAATAATTTATTCTTTAAGAGCATCCCAGCCCCCGGTGAAATTAACAAGAACTATTGGGGAAATATGAGTTTTTTTTTTTTTGTTTTGTTCTGAGGATTCTGATTTAGTCGTCGTTTAAATTAGAGAATTTATTTGATTGAGTAGGCTCATTTTGTTCTTTGTCTTGCAAAGGACGTATAACTGAGTTACGAGGAGAAGTAAAGCCCTCGTTGTTAGTGACTGTGTGTTTTTTAATTGTTTTAGATGAAGGAGCAGTTGTATCAACCTAATCGACCAAACGATTTCCCTTTTTCTGTTTGTGTTGGTGGGTTAGATTTCTTTTTGAGTTCTTCCATCAAAAGTTTAAATTATCAATTTCATGTTAAATTTCAATGTTTCGTTCTGCACGGCATAGAGGAGTGTCTTCTGGACCATTTTGTACACTGACTACCAATAAGTATGGAACCTGATGCCATGACGATATCTGGGGGTCCCCCCAGGTGAGTCCACAGACTCCACGGGAGGAATAGATCGTGTAGACTTGTAGAAGATAGACACAGCATTCGGCTTGCTCGCTGCAAGCGGCTCGCAGTGCGGAGAGCTCTCTGATTTCTAGAAAGCGTTATAAGGATCGGGTACCACCAATGTGGCCGATGGGAGTCTGTTGCATGAAGTACCATCCGTAAAAGAACGTAAGACATCTGCTTGGGTTTCATGGTCGTGCTGCTGCCCATAAGCCTTTGATTACAAAGAAGGTCAACTTGCGTGGCTCGGTTTTACTGTGGTGCCAAAGCACATCGAAATTTGGACCGTAGTCAGTTGCAAAGTGAGTTGGGTGAAGAGAACCGGGTTCTTTGGAGTGCCGAATCAAGGTTCCCCTTTCCCGTTCGGAGGGCAGGGTCTGGGTCTGGCGTCTACTTGGAGAAGTCCCTGCCTGAATGCATGTGCCAACCAGTCAAGTTCGGTCGGCAAGGTGGGGATGGTGGAATGGACTTGGCATTGGGGTGGTGGAATTTGGAATTATGGTCTGGGGGTGTTTCTCCTGGTATGGGCTGGGACCCTTGGCCCATTCATAGTAAGCTCAACTCCGATGCTACTGCACTATTTTGGATGACAATGTGCTTCCTACGTAATGGTAGTTTACGCGTTGACCCCTGTTCTTTCAGGACGACAATGCCGTTGTCAGTTCTACGTAACCAGGCTGGTATAGGTGCCATGGGAGTTACGAATGGACTGGCCTTTCAGAGTCAGCTGAACCTTCAGGAGCCTCTGGGCCGAGTGCATGCGTTCGGGGTGCACTACCCGTGCAAATCAAAAAAAATGTCTTCCTCCAAGCGAGTGGAAGAAATACCCTAGCTGTCAGGCAAGACTTGTGGAAAGTTGCCCCGGAGGTCCACGCTGTATTGTAATTATCTATCGTGGAGTCTACCAACTATTGATTTTGAATAAAGTTAGTTTTTCTTTCCTATCACAGGTGTCCAAATACTTATTGGTAGTCAGTGTACTATCGTGGAAATGAGGAATTTTTGAAGACTCAATTCTTTAATTTTCTTTTTAAGTAATTCAATGGTTGGTATGGGGACCGAATTTAAATGTGCCTCATTCTTGTTCATGATAACTGCCGTCGTTTAAACCAACCAAATGTTAGATGGCATAATTAACTCACCAGAATTCAAGACGAACAGATCCATAGCAAATGAAGTCTATAAGATGCGCGGTGGAGATTTTTAACATCTACTTATGTAGACATATGCAAATACGAACGCTCATGTTTCCAAGTTTTTTTTTTTTTTTTCTTGCAGTGATATTTTCCATTTGCATTTACCTCCAAAACTATGGATCGTACCGGTACAGTTTTGGGGCATTTTTTATGTATTCCAAGCGAGGAATCTCGCTGTGTAGTTTCCACACACAACACATAGAACACCACACATAACACAATCACTGCACTTTATGTTGTAGACATTTTTCCAAATTTTTGAGAAAATGCTTGACGAACTGTTCTGTAACATGCTTGAACTCACACTTTCCAAGGAAAATTCAGTCATGAGTATATTTAGGACAGCAGCAACAAAATTATTTAGGAGAAAATAAAATACTTTCGATCACCTCTATCACAAAAACAGAAAGTGATCTGGAAGTTTCCCAAAACATTTTGCATGCCATATGCAATGTTTGTAAGCACTTTTGTAAAAACATCCCATACATTTAAAGATTATAAAGATTCTCCTAAAAAATTCAAATTTTTAGAAGAAATTATTTCATAGTGTAAGAAAAAAGTTTCATTTGGGAAACTGCTTTTTATGTTGCTAATTTAAATATGTTATACAAACTCTAAGATAACCAACTGCAGTTCCTTACGATTTTGGTGTTCTAAAGAGGTGATCTTATTACGGAAGTCATGCTCAATAACAGTACTTATTTATGCTCTCAAATATACTAACCAAATTTAAAGATGGTTGTTGTGAAAGAGTTCAGTGTGTTTGTAAAATACCTGAGCTGGTCTTATCTAAATTGAGGAAAACAAGATTTTTATCTCCAATTTATTATTCAACAAGAAGCAAAAGATCAATATTTTCCGATATTTATTGCTTTAACAATATTTTTTTGTTTTACATGCAACCCCTTTCCTGAGATAGAAAACATTACCCTTAAACTTATATACTTACAGAACCTATTCTCAACTTATCATAAAAAAAAAAAAAAAAAAAAAAAAAAAAAAAGTATTAATACTTTTAAAGTACATATGCATAGCTAAAACACATACATGGACACAAACATACATTGTTAAAAATTTTGTATATATGTAAATAATTTTTGTAAAACTATATGTATATTGCAGTAGCTCTTGTATAAGGTAACGTGAAAAGTCTCAAGAAAGTGAAACTCCACAGGAAAAGTATGATTACAAGGGCAAGTTCATTAAACATTGAGGTAAATAGCTAGCTCATACCAAGTTGGTAACTGCCTCGGCAGCTAATTTTTGCAGCAAAATTTGGCAAAAAATCGCCAAAAGTCACAAAACTTGATGACCATTTGGTCCAATCCCTATATAACTACAATTGGTCTGATCTATACATAACTGTAACCATATTCTGTAACTGTAACCTATGTAACTAAATGTCTATGCTAGGGTTTCTTAAACTTTTTCATTCACGACCCCTCTTTATCACCGAGATTTTTTTGCGACCCCTAAGATCCCATTATATTATCTACAAAAATTTTGTGAGACTCCAGAAGTATTGTGCAAACCCGACACACGCGTGAGTGAAACTCTCAATGTTTTCACTTGTACTGTAGTACAGTCAAAAGTCTTCAAGCCGGACCTCAAAGCTACAAACTTTCTGCACGAATACACATCAAATAGTTTTCTGGCTGCAATTTTCTAATGTCGACTATGCGTAATGTATGCTTGCGCATGCACGAGTGAAAGAAAGGTTTATAAAGTAAACAATATAAGCTTTTTTTTTTGAAATTTTTGACACCCTTTAACTATAATTCGCTTTTCTTTCATAAATTGCGGGTTTCCTCTTTTTACTTTTATGAATTTTCGGCATGCCTCTTCGTGGGATTGTAAACTGATGATTTAATCCGGGCATCACCGACGTCCAAAAGGAGTCCGATTTAAAGACTTGTGCTGATACTATTTGCAGTTTTACGCAATAAATTTCATTAATTTTAAATAGAGAACAATGCGGAAAATTTTATAAGGACTCAGAGGAAAATGGACAGTGGGCACGTGCAAAGCAAGGACAATGAAAATTTATATTATAAAAAGAATGCGTCAAAACGTTTTCGTTTTTTTCTTTGTCCGTATATTTATTTTCAGATACATTGTGTAAAAATAGTATAAGTTAAAGAAATAACAAAACTGCTAAAATTTTGGTGACCCACAGTTTAAGAATCCCTGGTCTATGCCATCCAGCAATTTCTAGAAATTTCTTGGCAGCCTGCGGAAAACTATGGAAGAAGGAAGAGAACATTAGTTGAGTTAGTTCAGAGTACTGAGAATATTCAGAGTTCACTCTTGAACTGATGCACTTAGTTTTTATTTTGTTTTGTTTTTAATGTTCTTAGTTTGAAGTGGTAATTACTGATTATGCTCTGTCATACTGAGAAGAGCTACATGATCAATTCTGTGAAAAGTTCCAGAATTATAAAGTACTTCTTTGGGAAAAATAAATTTTGTCAAGCTACCATCAGTTCTATATGTATGCAATCCATTACAAACTCATATGCAATTAATAATATATCAGCTATATGATACTCAATTGTAAAATGAAATTTATGAGATTTACTGTAAAATGTACTATTTCCCAATATTAGAATATCAAAATAATTTCAAATTTACAGGTAATGAATGTCCAATGCTCAGCCATTACTGTAGTAATCATCGATGTAGATCAACAGCTGTACTATGCAGTGGAGTAGACGGGTGTGGAGATAATAGTGATGAAACCAATTGTGAAGTCTGTTGTAAGTCTCAACTCAATAAATACCATCCCCATTCTTAACCTCCTAACAACTTCTCCTGTTTTAGTTACAATATTAATTCACATGACTCTTTTTAATCCTGTAAGACAATTATAAAACTCATGTCAAAGATAAAGCAAAAGAAATATTTTCCCTTAACAGTGGCGTTTTTTTTCAAACAATGTTCCATATACTATAACACTCTTCATTTAGTTATACTAAAAATTAACTTTAAACAAGTAACCTGGTTCTGAAAACAAACTACACAATAAACTTGAATTTGAATTGTACAATCATTAGCAAGGTATTGCTGAAGTAAATTGAGAACATTCCAGATGTAACAAACAATGTACTACTGGGCGAATCTTCTGCTACTGACAAGAAACTTTAAAAATTAAATTATTTAAATGAATGAAACTCAAATATGTAATATGTCATATTTTTAATTTATACTCCATATTTTTATAATTTATAGAGTCTATTATTATAAAAAGCACAGCCTAATACACGTACTTTGTTTTTCTTATTTTCAGACTGCCAGAAGCCATAATATGGAAAGTGTGAATTTTTACTTTATGTTCCTTTTAAGTTATTTTATGACGTTCAGTAAAAGATAATTTATTTTCTTAGTGTTCCTATTTAACCTTTTCATTTATAATGGTGTAATGTCTTAAATGATAACTTGACTGTTGGAATTGTATATGAAGTTTCAATACTGTAAATAGCCAAAATATTTCATTGTGGAGATTTGTGCCTCATGTTTATTATAAATTATGAAATTTCATGTACCACTGTGCCAATTTAATGTATCTTTATGCAACTTATACTAATAAAAAATATTTTAACAAAAATGACTATTTTCAGAATTCTATAAAATGAAGGCATAATACAAGTTACTTAAATGAAAGTTTGTTTTATTTATTACAAGTTAAAAATAATCATTAACTTTATTATAAAATATTAACACATTTCATAAATCTATACTTGTACAGTCTGAAGAGAACTGTTGCAATTTACAAATGTGTTACAAACATGGAAACTGGAACAAAAGTAAATGTAACATCTGCAATATACTGCAATGTAAAAAATTATGAGTTTGCATTATTTAACGAGTTCTTTTCACAAGTTATAAATACTTCATACTTTTGAGATTTGCAAATTCAAATAGATTTGATTATATAGAAGAATATAAAGAATAAATATTAACATACAAAATTACCATCAGAAATTACAGTACAAAAGCAATTTAAAAGAACAGAAAATTTACAACTTTTTAAAATTATTTTCAAATCAATTTTGGCTACTATGTTTTGTCGTGCAATTTGTAAAATTTTGATACATTTTTTTAGTATGTATACCCAGGATATTACCCTAGCCCCCCTCCAAACAAAAAAAGCATAGCAACTTCATAACACAGTTCATTATATTAGATAACATGGTAGAGAGAAAATTCTGAGATTTCAATAGAATATGCTCATTTTTTGAATACCTTCAACACAAGGGAAATTTAGTACAAAATATTCTGACTATCCAAAACCATAGAATTTTGAGAACATTCTACAACAAATATAGTAACGTTCTTCTCTTTCCTTTGAAAAAAGTAATGTAAACAAACTTTCTAAACTAAGACAAATACTGAATCATATACATAAAAAGTGTTCTGAAAAAGGTTTACAAATACAAATAAGAAATATAAAATTAGTGGCATCAGTTAAGGAACTTCACAAAGCACAAATTAAGTCTGAAGTAATATCAGTTTACTTCAATACATAAAAGTACACTTGGAGAAATGGATCTATGCCCGGAAGTATTATAAAAATATTCTGCAAGGAACATAAAAATCAGTTTAAGAAGCATGAACTTTATTCTAATTATTCAATGTGAATATATATAAATATTTAATAGTTATCTAAATCTATGGTTTTAATATCGATATAATAAAAGGAGAAAATAATTACAAAGCTTTTGGAAAGCACACTTTAAACACATGCAAATATTTCAAATTTATTAAAAGAGGATGAAATGATGTAATTTCAGGATTAAACTACTAAGAATAAGGAAAAAATAAGATAAAAATCAAAATAAAGAGGAAACAAGAGATTTCGTCAAAAATAACCCCTCTGTTGCCTCCCCTTCTCAATGAAATTTCACTCTTCCAAATTCAAGCCAGAACCTTCATCTAAAATGTCTCATCACATTTTAACCCTCTAGTTCCATTTATGATCAATTCTATATATAGTTTACAATATAATATTCAACGGCTTACTATTCTTGTATGGAAAAGTACCTCTCTACATGATTTCAAAATCCTTGAACTTTGTCATAGTACATTTGTATATTGGATGAACCACTTTAATTTGCAAATATAACAAACATATGTAACCATAAAACTATTCTCAGTTACACTTTATTGAAATCGTTATAATTCTATCAATGAGGGGCACTTCATTTTACAAACTTTCTTTTTACAAAATCACAGAAATATATGGATTCATCTGTTATGAAATACAAATTGAGTTGATTTTTTTTAAATTTAAAATTTACCACCCAATGAAAAATGTTCATTCAAAAGCATCCAGTTTCCAAACTTCTCCCATTTATAAGGCAAAATTCGAATTAATAATTATTTCACTTTTTAAACTTCCATTTTATAAATTATTGCTGTGAACAAGTTACTTCATAAATGCAATGTATTCCTGTACTTCTCAGAAAAAGGAATACAACAGAATGGTTTGATTTGGTTTAGTTGATTATGGCAAAGTATACTATGGCTATCTAAGGGGAAAGGTAACCTCTGGAGACTTTCTAAGGGAAACTGGTTTGTATACATGTCACACATGAGAAAAATCATGAAAGCAGGAACGGGCCGTTCGCCTCGAGTCAAACCCAAGTTGGAACTACCAGTGTTCAGTGATTTTACTGCTCAGCTGCTGGTGGGTTGAATACAGCAGAATCAGAATTTATATACCTGGTAGCTTCAACGTAAATAGCAGACCAGTTGAGGAGCATAACACACCTGAACGCCTAGGAAAAAATGGTAGGCTGCATAACAAAGTTGGATAATAATTATTTGGCAATTTTGACTACTGACACACAATGCAATTACACCTGGAATAATTTTGACTGAATATATACGTCATAAAAGTTATACAAACTTCTTTATACAATACAAAAAGCAATCATATAATATTAATGCACAGAATACATACGATGGAGGTTTGTTGTGAAAATTTTATCAAAAGCATTCAAAATTAGGTATGTTTCTATAAGCAAACAGACTTGATTTTGCAGGTGGTATTTATAATGAATATTATTCTGTAGCAAAATAAAATTTAGAAGCACAGAAAGCAGAGTACAATGAATATATTTATTCACTATGTACACCTAAACTACTTACTTTCAGAAGTACCATGATTTGAGGGTGATACACATGCAAAATCTGATAATCAACCCAAATTTCTAATTATTTTCAATGTTTACTGGTATCTTACCTCCCCACCATAAAATCAAACAAGACTCTATATATGAATATGTATTTATATTTATAACAGTTTTTATGAAGTTAATAAAGAAAATTCTTTAAAGGAATATCCTGACTGTTTCTGTAATACACTGCCAATATGAGCAAGAGATATACAATTTGTTATACTGAAACTTTAATCTCTCTCTTGAACCTCTAAATCTTTAAGTCAATTACATTTTCCCTAATGCGTGAAATTACTTACTTATACCATATTCTTTTAAATTAATGGGAGAAAGCTGTTTATACCTGCTGTAAGATGGCAGCAAATAAGTACCTTATGTTCCATAAATTTTTGATAATAATAATGAAAAAGTTATAACACTTATTTATTTAGTGACCAAGTATAAAGAATTATATTTGACTTAAAATACATTAACTTATAATCAGACATAATTGTTTTGAAAATCTCCTTTTAATACATTTAAGTAGTTTTCATTTTACACACTTATATAGCACACTAACACTTAAATTTTTTTATGTGAACTTTTAGGCTCAATAAACTATCAGAGAAATGAACATCAAAATTAAGAAAGATTTCTCGCAATGCCAATTAACTCCATTCTTAGCAGAGTTCAAAATATTTCTTTTAAAAATTTATTCATTATTATCTCTAACAGAAAATTTAAAAAGTTATTCAAGAAATAGGTAAAAGCCTAAACTCAAGAATTCATATTTAGAAAGTTTTAAACAAATTTATGATTATAAAGAAAATTCAATTTAACCCCTTAACTGCCGCCGGCGTATATTTACGCTTTGCTCAGTTGATGCGTTAACTGCCCCGGGCGTATATATACACCCTTCGAAAACACTATCATTTGCTTTGAGCTGCTACCCGTAAAATTGCAAAGCTTTGGAATGCAACACCACAATGACCTTGACAAAGTATGGAGGGATATTATTGAGAGAGTGTGGGGGAAATTGGATGGTCTAAGCTGTAAATAAAGACTGTGGGTATGGCGGCGTTTTTAGTAAAAGATTTTTTTTAATAGTAGGTTCCAGATAAGAAGATTAGGGTGTTTAAACCCATTTATCTTTGAACTGCTGTGCTTCATATTGTATTGAACTAACGTTGTAGATGAGATAGGACCAAAGCTACAAACAAAAAAATCAGAACAAAATGGGCATTCAACCAGTCAAAAAATATATGTTTTTTTTAGCATACTGAGTTCAAGGTATACACTGAAACCTCGTATTTGACTTTACTGGTCTAAATAAATTGATCGAACTATTTTTTAGGATCTTTTTATTAGAAAAACATCATTTTTATATACTACTCTTTTATTATACTTTTGCTCTAACAGTAAATTTTGTGCATCATTTTTTCTTTTTTCTTTATTTGAAGAAACAGATTTTAGAAAGTAAAACTTGCACTTATTTTTCCCCTAATAGATCGCATAACTATGCGCACCTGTGTCAAAACCATGGCACTGGGAAATGAATCCTGTGCGTTTTCCACTGCAGTTAAGGGGTTAAGACTACATAAAATGAAATGTAGAATATCCTTTTATAACTAGATTAATCTGACTAAAAAGTAAATGTATAATTCAATATATTTTAAATAATCCTATTTGCATCTTGCTACATCGAAGTTTTAGTATAAACTTTTAGTACAAAATATAGCTCAAACACATTTTATAAAACACTACAAACAAAGTTTTTATCTCATTTCATTAAAAACATGACAGATTATTTTGATATTTAAAGCACATAAGACGTTAACTACAGTTAGAACAAAGTAAAAATAATTTACAATGATGTCAACAGCTATTTCACACAATTATGATGCATATGCAAGGCAAATTTTATAACGAAACCCTTTTTCCCAAAATGTTTTATAAACATATGTCACTTAAAACATTTTTATAAGCTAAACACATTTTGTTTTCAATAATATGCAGTTAGAAAAACCAGCATATTATAAATAATTTTTAATCTAAAAATGGATTAGCATGCTGTCTGGACAGTAAAGAAATAAGTTATATGAACAATGATTATTACATGCTATTCAAACAATTACAGTGCACATACAATGCAAATTTCATAACAGAAATCATTTCCCATAACCTTTTATAATTACATATGCTTCATTACACAAGATGACATATATGCTAAACATATTTTCATTCAATGATAAATTACAGTATGAAAAAATTGCATATCAGATAAATTATTTGACATCTATAAACGCATAGGCATACATACACTCTACAGATTAAATTATGACCAACATATTTTTCTCAAAACCACTTATAATATATCTTTATAAGTAAACATCACAATGAACATATTGCTACAAAAATGAACACTTTATATCCAATATAAAAAAAATAATAAACAAGCATTTATTGCTCTAAAAGAAAATTATCAGAAAACACACAGCCTAATGTCCTCAATTCTTCTACTTAAATTTTAAAATGTAGCACTGTGCAAGAGAAAAGCAATTTTAGTATTTCCAGTTTTAAAATAATACTGAATTACGATGATCACTGAATGAAAAAGCAAGCAAGTTATGATGCCAAAGAAAGCAGAAGACTAGGATAGCTCATTTAATAAGGGTTAAGTAAATGATAGCTATCTCCCTAAACTCTACCACAATTTTGACCAACAGCATCAGTTGATGTATTAAAATACTTTGAATGCTAACTGCAATTCATTTTCAGGTCACCCAAACCTGTTACTTGAACTTTGTTATCACATGATTGCTATACATTTGTCAATGAAATCTTTTAAGTCATAATTTTTATGACATGAAATACTTCCGTTTTGTGCTATGAGCTTCACCAGGCTTTCTCTGACAGTAAAAAATACGGATCTTACAAAAAAAAAAGAAAAAAAAATTAATTTATGGATTTGAGGATCTAAAAACTATTAACACCAATTTGCTATACGGAAATATTTATTCACATAGATTTAAAATGAAATGAAAGTTTAACACATTAAAAACTTTCAGTTTTGAATACTTATAAAACTGAAATGTAAAAGAAATTTATAAATACAAAATACATTTGCATGAGTTTAAAAGAGAATAATTATGCTATAAATTTTAATATGATTATAAAGAATTTCTATAAAACTCAGGTAATGTATATAATGTTTGCTGTGTATAGAATACACGGGCATTCTACACAATCCTACAATATACAGAATACCCAGGCATTGAAGACAATGCCACATAACCTCACTTTGACAGTAACGAACACATTAAAAATTTACCAATGGTTCTGAATACAGTAATTAGTACGAAAATTTAAAATATTTCACCTTATCTTTATTACACATTTACATTCATATACACTACTGATTTCAGTAAAATCAGAAAGTAGTATAACACTTTTATTCATGTTTTGATAATGCCCAGTTAAGGCTAAAATTTTGGCACATTCCTCTTATTGTTGTTACAATGCATAAAAATATGGCAGAAAAGGGAAAGACAGAATCATAAATATCTGTTTTCCTAAATCATATTTAACAGAAGAAATGAACAAAAAGCAGGCAAAAGAAATTAAATGCTACTGATTTAACCAACTTAATGCTTTAAGACTGCATTAGGAACTTTTGGTTCATCTTAAAAACTCATGCATAATATTTCACATGAAAATCAACTTTAAGAAAAAAAAAAAAAAAAAGCGTGACAAACATTAAAATCAATTAGTGTTCACCTGATATTCTTCTTATCAACTGTAAATGCCAATAAAAAGTAATAAAAACCGAATATGCTAATGCATGAAAAAAATTTGTGAACAATTACTTTTAAGTTGAATATACATATACACACACAGTATAATATGTACATATATGTGCATTCACACATTTGCATACACAGAGTTATGTAAAGAAACTTACACTGGAATTATTCTTTCAAAAAAACTTTAATGTAAAGATATGGAAAGAACATTTATTCTGTAACTAGCAGATTAGTTTGCCTATAGCAAACGCTACCTGCTTATGGGTAGGGATGCTTTTGTGATCAGACTTTCCAAGGGAAAATGGCTCAAACTCATATTACATGTGGGGAAAACCATGAAAATATTCATGCAGCCAGCTCAATTGCCAGGATTTGAACCTGAGTTGAACTACCAGTGTTCAATGACTTTACTGCTCGATCGCTGGTGAACTTATAACTCACAAAACGTGGTCAAGTATTTCATAATACATCATGTTCAATAATCAAAACCACTGAATTTCATCATATTTTGTGGTCTGTTCCCAAAATTCCATGTTTAAAATCCATGTATTAGCTAGTAAAAACTTCTCTCAGAACAAAAATTATTTTCACAGAATTTTCTTTCAAAGTGTGAAGCTCTCTGTTGCTAGGTAATATGTGCAAATTTTTTTTAAACTTGTGGAACACCATTTTATTTTAATTTGAACCTTGGGAAAGGAAAGAAAAAACTTCTGACGTTGACCTCCAACAAAATTCGTCTATGATTATTCTATATCGCTCTGATAATACAACAAGTGTGAAGGCTAGAGTTATAGCTAAACATTACTAATACAAAATTAGCAGTTTCTTATTTCAGAGGCTACTGACATATTTTTCTTACCTGAGTATAATGCTTTTGGATGCACCCTAGCTGTATGTGCATATACATGTATATGTGTGTGCATATGTACATATGTATGTAACCAATTTTACACAAAAATCAAAATTTGAAATTCTGGTCTTTGTAACATTGGTTCTAAATTTCTTATTTTATGTCTTTACTGATCATTTTTCAGCAGCTTAATGCATGGAAATACTTGGTATATTACTAATATATATATGTGTGTGTGTGTGTGTGTGCAAAAAGCTCATGATTAAATAACATACAAGATTAAGAAAAACATTTTGCTCACCGTGATGTGATTATGTCCAAGAAACATAAAAACCATTTTTTTTTCTAAAAGCATAAAAATATCCAAAAATTTTTTATACACTCACAGAAATAAAAAGTATAAATGCAAAAAATAATAAAAAAACAAATCTACCTCTAAAACCTTTTAAGAAGTATGATTAATTATTAGAACACCTAAATATTTCAACAGTTCATAGGTATATATATATATATATATATTTATACACAATGCAGAATAACCTAATGAAACCAAACAGTGTTAAGACAATTCAAAAACACAATCTTACATGCAAATGACAGAAAAGCTTATGCTAATTTGTACATTTTACACTGCTGAAAAATACTGCAGTTCTTGTAAAGTAAATACTTTGTATCAGAATTATTTCCCAACAGCATTCATGATTTTCGTGGTGTTTACATATATTTCATATTTCAAATACAATAAAAATTAATATATATCTACCAAAGATAGAGAATTTTTTACATGTAATTTTTAATATTTGACAATTTTAAAATTCATTAAAATATTTAATAAATGCAAAGAAGACTGCACATTGAGAAAAATTTCACATAATCAATAAAGTCCTATATAGCAGTAAATAACTGGCACATGAATTTCACGAAGTATTCTGATGAAAGTTAAGTTTATTCCAAGAACATGATGAATCATTAAAAATTAATTATTTGTATGTAAGGAGTTAAATTTAGACTTAGACTGGTGTTGATTCCAGAAGTCAGATGTGCACTGATTTTAAGTTCAGAAAACAATTTTCATAGTTCTTACACCTTCATCAGCAGTTATTAACATATGCGATATGTAAATCTCAGTTTATGTATGTAAGTAAAATTATATTAAAATATGTGAAAATCTCTATATTCCGGCAAGTAACGAAATGAACTTACATTCTGCTACATGCAGGAATTTTAGAGTATGCATATCAACTATACATTTAACACTGTTATTAAGAGAAACTATAACATCTCGAGAACAAATCTTTTTCACTCAAGATCATTTTTTCAATAAATTGTCTGACATTTAGAATGTTTATATAATTTTTGTTTTCAAAGACATAAAGTAGTTTGTTGGAAAAGAAAATTCTGCATACCACCTTTCACCAAAATATACACAATTTTTTTTAAAAAAAAAGACTAGATGCAAATAAAGTTACAGAAATATTTACAAGTTTATTTTATGTATAGTGTTTTGAATTAAGAGTATCTGACTAGACACAGAAAAATGAAAATACTGTTTTCCTTTACAACAATACAACAAAATTCATATATTCAAAAACAGTCTTAAAATACACATGCCCCTACATGTTGGGATTAATAAAATGAAGCAATACACTATAATTCATGTAATTATGCAGGCTCTTAATATAGTATTTTTGATTTTCAATTAAAACAGAGCACTGCATAAATATACATAAAAAATAATACATTACTAAGAAAAAGTAAAAAGTAGAACAGATGACTTGCAATAAAAGAGCTGACAACACTATTTCAATGTATTTAGAAAATACCTAACATCTAAATTTATAATTTTTATTAGGAATTATAACTGAAATCCAATTTAGTTAACTTGTAGTTAAGCTTTTGAAAGAAACCCAAAACAAAATATTTTTAGGTTGGAAATACATGGATTTAAACACTTCTCTCCCCCTTTTTTTAATCATAAGGAAGTGTGGACTATTTTCTGAAAGTATAAAGATAAATGACTAGCCTAAAATTATACTAAATATGAATACATACATTGTTTCTTGTATAATATGTAAAATAAAAATAATTGAACTTTACAACAATTAACAATTTATTTCATCTACTTGCTTTTTTCCAATTAAATCCGGGTTAGCCAAGGGATCCAAATCAGCGAACAAGTTATACCAACTAGACATATCTTGTTTTGCCTGAAATTAAAAAAGAAAACAGACATAAAATCTAAATATTTTCTTATAGCATTATCATATTTATACTTAAAGTATACAGTTAAAAGTAAAAAGGAACTCACCTTATTCTTTTCAATTGGGCCCCGTTCAACACTTTTAGCCGCCTCAGATGATGGGATTACAGGACCTGCAGATAAAGCATCTGTAAAAATACTTAAAAAATCCAAACAAAACATTCACAATGAAGACTTGAGCCTTTTAATTCATATGTGCAAGCTCTTGCAATAGCAAATGGCACTGCCTTACAGCTCAAACACCCACATATCTAAAACAAGCCATTTTAGCACTGGAGAGAATCAAGTGGAAATGATGAATTTCGAAGTTAAGATGAAACTGAAAATTCGCCATGCACTGAATGAATAAATTCTAACACGTCTTTAGAGTCCTTACAAATTCAAAAACTTAATAATTTTATTTATTGAATCAATATCAATAGCAATTTATTTTTTCAAGTAATTATTAATAGTGATACATATTGCACTACCAATACATAGATGAATAACAGATGCTTTCTTGGTTTATAAAAGTACTGAAAGTCAAATTTCACTTAAAAAAAACTGCCAAAATATTATAATCCTAATCAAATCTTCACTCCTATACTCATTTGAAACACAGACACTAATTTGAAAGAAAAATATTGTATTTTGGGGGATGTAATACCTGCCATTCAAAAATAGGAACAAACAGCTTTAGGCAATATCTCATAAGTTACATAATACATAAAATTAAAATTTAGCATTTCTGTAGACAATGCAGTAATTTATTGTAACTGTATGCTTTCTATTTCTTAAAAATTGTACTGTTTTTTAAAAATCATATATGCCAGACAAATTGCAAAAATAACTAAAAGACATTTTAATCTGGAATATATTCAAGCCCTGATGTGAATGCAAGCTTAACACTTTCTTTCCTTAAACAAAAAAATCATAGTTACTGTAAATGGTCTCAGACGCTTATGAAGGACATTGTCTCGATATGTCATATTATTTATAGATTACATTAGTAAATACCCAAGGTTAATTTAAGTGCACAAAGAATCTTTTGCCCCTTCAGTAAATATGCTTTCTCAGAAGTTGGACAGGTTGCATTGTGTTGATTCTCTTCTTCAGAAAATAACGGAATATGCCCAAAGAATCTTTTGCCAAGAGAGCCCCTTCAGTAAATACACTTTCTTAGAAGTTGGAGAAAGTTGCATTATGTTCATTCTCCACTTCAGAAAATAATGGAACATGAGCCACAATACAGAGCACTTAGATTCATCTATAAACACTACTGAGATACAAGTGGCAGCAGTCCTCTGCAGTGTGTTTCAAGTGATATATTATCTTGCATAACAAAGTCGAGCTTCAGTATGCAACAAATCTGACAGATGACAAAAGACTTTCAAGCATGCAGTCCTCATCCATAAAGCCTTTTAGCAGTTGAAATAGATATCAATACTGTTTATTATGGATAAAATATCTGCAACCAGCTGAAATGCACATGTTATTCTTCTGTGCAAACACTATAACTAGAATATGTTCACTATCATAGCATCCATGTCATATTTACAAAACACTGGCAATGAAATTTTGAAGTTCACTAACTGGTCAAATGTCATATCATACCAAACTAGTAACTGACAAGGTTTCTATTACGTTAGCGAATACATGGCAAAAGTATATAACATTTCAAACACCTTAATAGTATTTAAAATTTCACTTCAATAAAGAACTAAAATAAAACTCCACCTAAACAAATTTCATTAACCAAAATATGGTTTCATTGAAATATTGAATGAATTCCAAAAGTGAAACTCTTTCAGCATTTACCTTTTTTTGACAAAAAAATTGTTTCACTATTTAAAGGTTATAAGGCATTTTTCCTGCCTTCTTAGCATGCCTTCGTGGTGTAATGGCCAGCACACTCAGAGTGTATTCAAGAGGACTGCGATTCGAGTCCCGGCGAGGGCATAGCTCCATTTTCATTTTTTCTGCTTTCTCTACAGTGGTGCCCGAACTCAAAATGGTGCTGGATGATGATCTTCGCCACCAGGATTTGGTGACTGCGTCCCCTAATCCCCAGTCGTGCTTTTAAAGGGGGATTATATAAGGTCCCACCTTTTTAGCAGGCTTTCTTGGTGTGATGGCCAGTACACTTGACGCATATTCAAGAGGTCCGTGGTTCGAGTCTTGGCGAGGATATCACTCATTTTTCATCTTTTCTGCTTAGAAATAACTTAATGTCTCTACAAGGTAAAGGAATATTTTGTAGCATAAATGAATAATTCCCACTGAATGCCAAAATGGCTTTCCAAGTATGTACATTCATTGATGAAAAACATCAAGTGCATAAATTTATAAAAAAAGAGAGTTCCATGAAAATTGAATAATCAATTATTACATGAACATGGAAAGAACCGAAACTACCAAAAACAAAAGCATTAAATACATCATCAAATTTTAAATAGAAATTTTGTAATTCACACCCAGCTAAATTTTCACCATTCTATAAGGAGATTCATTACTGGATTGCTACTAATGTTATCAGTTTTTCAAAAGTGAACATCTGAAACTAAAAATTTATGGTTATTTAATGGATATTACAGGTTTCTGTAATTTCATGTATTTTATATGCAGTGTATTTTATGTTAATTCTCCTGAATTTAATCTTCAGTGCTATTAATTTTCACTGTATATTCTCTTATGCTTATATAATCTATGAAACACGAGTGTGAAATTAGGGTTCATACACATTTCTTCACATGGAAATTAAGTACTTTTAAGGACCATTACTGAAAAAAATTAAGGACCTATGAGCAAATAGCAAATTAATAAATTCAATTAAAATATTGTCTGTGCTTGAACTTCACTTTTGTAATATCATGAAAAAAAAAATCTGTAATAGGATGCATTACTATTAAGCATAACTTAATTAACATAATTATTAATTAGTTATAAAATATACTTTATGAATTTATCAAACGGCATTAATATTTAGACTTGCAATAGTCGTATATTTGAAAGAAGACAAGTAACATTTATTTACATTTTACTAATAGTTAGTTTCATGTTAATTTTTTTTTTTTTTTTTTTTTTTTTTTTTATGTCTCATTACTTGCTCAATCTAGAGGTTTAGTAAATAGCAGGTAGATTTTATGTCAAGCATCATAGTTTAAAATGAGAAGTAAAATCATAACCAGAATGATTCATAACAAAGACTGGCCTGTTGTCACACTCCTGCTTGCTAGAGAGAGATCTGCTGATCAGAACAAACCCGTAGGCACAGTTAGTAAGTTTTGAAAGTTAGCTGAGCTCTGTCTGATGCCGTTATTGTCATAGCTTCGTGTAGAGCTCCAGGAGTTGTAATTCGGTTAATATACTTTAAGGTTCTATTAAGCCACTAAAGCACTAGAGGTGATAAGTTGTTTTTCATTATTTTAAGTTTCACTAGATGCGAAGAATAAGTTTTACATGAATTTTTATATTTTTGTGTTTTGTGTTCAAGCATCATTAAATATTTTACACTTATAATAACTGGACATATTTGAAAGAAGATAAGTGACATTTTAGTTACGTTTTACTAACAGCATTTTTTTTTTAATGTCTAATTTTGTCACATACTTGCTCAGTCTAGAGGTTAATAGTAAGTAGATTAAAAAGTTAATAGTAAGTAGATTTAAATAGTTAATAGTAAGTAGTTATTAAAGTTAATAGTAAGTAGATATTAAAGTTAATAGTAAGTAGACTTCATGTCAAGCAGCATTGGTTAAAAAGAGCATTAAAATCATAATCAGCATGATTCATAACAAAAGACTGGCTGTTGTCATTGCTGCTCCTTACCTAGAGAGAGACCTGCTGATCAGAACAAAACTGAGAGGCCTAATGTGGGCACGGTTAGCTAGTTTTGAAAGTTAGCTGGGCTTTGTCTGTTGTGGTTAGTGTCGTAGCTCTGCGTAGAGTTCCAGGGATTGTAACCAAGTTAATATACTTTAAGGTTCCAATAAGCCACTAAAGCACCAGAGGTGACACTAAGTTGCTTTGTATTATTTTAGGTCTCACTAGATACTAAGAATAAGTTTTACATGAATTTTTACATTTTTGTGTTAAACCTTGTGCCACGCTAAGGAATAATGAAAGGCAACGACTCACTTCATTATAGAGATAATTTTAAGAGTAAGCAGTTAGTTATAAATTAAATTAGGTAGTTAGAAACCTTAGTCAGTATGGATTTACATGATTACTATTAAATTTACTTATTTTTAACAATATTGTTAAAAGTCCCTCTTAAAATCCCAATAATAAAATTTCACACTTTAAAATACATGCAATTTATGTCATGATTCTTAAACGATATTAGGATAATTATACATTAAAAGCTACAAAACATTTATGTTGGTTTAGCTACAAAACATTCATCTTTTTAATTTGAAGCCTTCCCAGACATTTTGGCTTAATTTATATCAATTTTCTTCTCTTTAAACATCTTTCCTAACAATTAAAAATCTGTTTGAATACACAAACCATTGTTTTGACTAGTTTCTGCATACTTTATCTTTTAAGTTATCAACCTCTCCACAATGTACCTATGAGGGTTTAATTGATTTGGTAAAAGTTAAATAGTCCAAAAACTCCCGATAGACATGAAGCAAGTTATCGCTATGTCTCAAAGTAACTACAGATAAACGTTTAAATAAGCCTCTTATTTAAAAAAAACTTAAAGGCATGTTCTTATGCTAACCAATTCAATTGCAGTTTGTGGTCATGTAATTAAACAAGAACAATCAAATTCAAACAAAAAAATGTGGGCTAGTGGTCAAAAACTAAATTTAATTTTAATTTAAGCTGGCTCAGTAACTCTATCGCCATAACAAATTCAGATGTCAGCAGTGATAATGCAAAGACAAAAAGTTGCAAATTATCAGAGCTGGCAGGAACTAATGCAACGAGCAAGCGGAGATTAAAAACACATTCTGTCTTGCACACCAAAAACCTCGGTTTAAAATTTGCCTAAGCGATTTGCATTCTGGGGAGGAAATAGAACGGGAAATATAGTAAAGGGATGAAATTATAAACAACTGGGTAATTTACATAAATACCTGTATATATATTTTAAGAATTTTTTTCTCTGTATGTACTTTCTAAGCTGCTTTTATTCTTATGTGAAAATTCAGGAGAAATAGGAAATATATATGTAAGCCGGTTACAGAGTTAGTGGGCAGAATTTTTAGAATTTAGTGACACAACCGAGCAACAAAATGAGAAACGGCAAAACTTTTAGAATTTAGAGCAGGCACTGGAAGCAGAATTTAGAAAGGCACTAGTCAGCAAAATTTAGGATCTACAGAGATAAGTTTAATATTCCATGTGATTGCACCAAGTGGGAAAATGCCTAGCGTCAGACCTGTGTATGATGCATTAAACATATTATGAATCTTTTAAATTGCCAGTTTTTCAATTTCTTTGTTAATAAAAAATTCCTTTCTATAATGCCTCTTCATGTGATAAGATAGAACATTTTTAATATTTTTTCCTACTTGTGTCTAGTGAAAGTAGAGAAAATAAAGGGAAGATAAGCTGTTAAGAAAAAGATTCTAGTATCAGAAGTAAAGCATTCAAATATATGTTTCATTGTTCTTCCAGATGTTCTCCAAAAAGTAAGAAATTCATTGCAAACTTTCTGCAAAATACATCCATTACGTGTTAATACCATAGAGACATTTTTCATTTTGTCACATTTTTCTAAATCTTCTGGATGGTGGGTCTATAAACTTGCTTTCAAATCCTTCTAAACTTTCCAAGTTGTCTAATGTCAGAAGAAAAATTACGCCTAATTTTGTAACAGGAAAACGCAGAAATATTTTAAAAAAATCAGATGGAAAAAGGTGAAATTAATTTTATAGAGAAAACTGATGCATATTCTGAGAATTCTGAACACTCTGAGACAATTACATGAGAAAACTCTTATCATGAAAAAATTAAAAAGAAGATATTTTTAATTAATATGTTATTTTTTTAAATATAATTTCATATTACCATAATTTTAATGATATTTATCAATGTTAGAAAGTTTTAAAAAAAATAGTCGAAAAATTCCCACAGGATTAAAATTAAGGACCTTCTGCCGATTTTGGCCAAAATTAAGGACTTTTAAGGACCAAAAATCGATTCCAAAAAACTTAAGGACTCTTAAGAACCGTACGAACCCTGGAAATAGAAAATTCCAATAAAAATGCAACAATCACTTTTTCAAATTACAGATGTGTACTTAATGTAATTTAAAGGAGGAAAAAGATTTAAAATGTGAGAAGCATTTAAAAAATTCTGGTTTAAGATGGCATAAGGCATTTCTTAACACTCATGCATATTGTATATAAGAAATATTTATACCTTCTTTCCTAATTTTTGCACTACAATAAAAAAAAGCAAAAAGAACCATTAAACGGAACTTTGACTTATGCATGATGAGAGCGAACATTAAAGCATCTTCAAGTCGCTAAAAAGTGCCAAATCTTTTAAATTCTCCATACGAGATACTAAATGAAATTTACCTTGTATATCAGTTGTTGAAGAGCTAAAACTCTTATTCATATCTAGCAACTGAGATGGCATGAAATAAGATGCCTGAGAACTATTTTGTAAATTTTCTTGCCTACTTGAATTAATTTGCTGATTTATAGATGATGCTTGGCATATATCTTGTATTTGAGATGATAGATTATTAGAAAGCTTATAATCACAATTTGAGTCTAAAATTTCACGTAGGAGTTCCAGATCACTTCTATCACAGTCTTCATTCTGAGCTCCAGTCAAAAAGTCAGAGGATCCTGAAATGAGAATGAAAGTTGAAATGTAAATGTTCTAGAAAAAGCCAATATAAGTATTACAAACTTAGCTTTTTTAAGTGATATACCAGTTTTGCTTTAAAAACCACAAATACATTATTTTATACTAATTCAGAAGTTAAACAACAAAAATCAGCGTTAATTTGCAAAATTTTCACAGGACTAGTTTCGATGGTTTTACCGAACCATCATCTTCAGCTGCAAAACCGCAAACCACGTGCAAAAAAGAAAGCAAAATGTAAGCCTGTTTGGGGCTTCTATAATTAAGACACAATAACACGCCGAATAAATACTAATTCAGAAGTTTAAACAACAAAATCAGCGTTAATTTGCAAAATTTTCACAGGACTAGTTTCGATGGTTTTACCGAACCATCATCTTCAGCTGCAAAACCGCAAACCACGTGCAAAAAAGAAAGCAAAATGTAAGCCTGTTTGGGGGTCTATATTAAGACACAATAACACGCCAAATAAATACTAATTCAGAAGTTAAACAACAAAAATCAGCGTTAATTTCCAAAATTTTCACAGGACTAGTTTCGATGGTTTTACCGAACCATCATCTTCAGCTGCAAAACCGCAAACCACGTTCAAAAAAGAAAGCAAAATGTAAGCCTGTTTGGGGCTTCTATTCTTCTTCTTCTTCTAACTTCTGAATTAGTATTTATTCGGCGTGTTATTGTGTCTACATTATTTTATATTAACCCTCTGACTGATCATCCTGCGATTTCCACGGGCAACTCAAATGAAACAAAATTTGCACATCCCGCAATCTCTGCAGGCATATGTTTTTCTTCCTTTGTTGAGGTTAGGTTAGGTTATTCAATTACGGCAAAGCCTCGAGGGCTATCTGCCTAAGGGGAGGGATGCCTTCATGGAGGACTTTCTAAGATAACTGGCTTGTATACACATTACACATGGGGAAAACCCCAAAAACACCCATACAGCCAGCCCGTTCGTTGGATTCAAACCTCGGACCAAACTACTAGTGTTCAGCGACTTTACCGCTCAGTCGCTGGTGGGCCCACCTTTATTGAGGAGCGGATCCCATTTTTCCCCGCTTAACCATTGAAATAAATTATATACAATATTAGGCATTTAGTTTACGTTTCGGCCAAAAGATATCGTTAGTTGTCTACTAAATTGCAGCATTTGAAGGCACGTGGTATTAGCCCTCAAACTTCACTTTTTGCCACTTTTTTCTTACAGAAATGGCTGCTAGAAACATTCAGCGATTATCTTGATTATTTAATTAAATTATTAATTAGATTAAAAATTAGATTGATTATTAATTAGACTTACTGAATCTGGTGCAAAGATTGTGAAGTTGGACTTTGCCTTGAACCCTGTTTTGAACTCCATCATGCTAAACTGCATTTCGAAGATATTTTTCCCTCAGCACTTTATATCTTCTTAAATTTAAACACTTTTTTATATTATGCAATAAATAGAATTAAATGTAATTCGACTAAAATTTATTTTAAAAAAAGTCTTTTTGGTGATAACATCTGAAATTGGTTTTTTCTGGAACTTTTTTTTCTCATGAGTAAAAATCTATATAAAAAATATTTTCTAGAAAGAAAAAGAACATTTTTCAATTCTCCAATATATATAGATTTAAAACATGGGGAAAAAAAAAAAATTTGGAAGCAATTTCGGTCCACAAATTGAGCAGTCAGAGGGTTAAGAAGCATAAGTTAAAGAGTTCGTAAAATCAAGCTTCATTCAGAACTGCAATCAGTAATAATTTCTGAAACAAACGATTCAAATACTTTTCCATATTATTAAAACAAGGGGGAGGACTGCAGAAATGTCATAACTTAGTCAGAGCTTATTAACATCAGAAAATCTAGTTACTTGGAAATTTTCATTGTACCTGTTATAGGAAACACTTCCATTTATAAAAGTGTGAAAAACAGAGATACAATATATGATGTGCACTATTTAATACACCAGCAATAGAAAAAAAATGAAAACAAACTAATCAACAAACAGAAGAATGAAATTAAACTGTTGTAAAACAGATAAAAAAAAATGCAAAGCCCAGTCTTTCAGAATTGTTAGTGATTTGTAGACATAAGAAATATGGAAGAAATAGCATATGAAACAGCTATATTAAAATTTCAAGAAACTTATTTAATAAAGAATAGAAAGTTATTCTGAGCTGTGTGACAAACACTATCTTCACATGACAAAAGTTAACAGAAATTATGTATGTATCAAATTTATAAACAATACAAAGTGAACATAATTTAGGTCCTTAAAATCAATAATCAAACTAATAGGCAAGTTAACCCGAAGGCATTTAAGAACTTCATTTTTTTATTGATGTTATGAACGATGAAGAGGATGAAGCTTATTATTACTAGTGCAGAATATCACTAAGAAAGTCTATATTTCTCCAAATTGCCATGAGAATCATATTTTTTCTATTTCAATGCCAAACCAGCTACTAGAAATATTATGCAAGACTGTAAGCAAGCGTAGCTAACCTAATTTACATGAAAACTGAAACTTCAAAAACTAAATACATGAACTTGGCACAAAATATATTTATCACCTTTATACATATTAAGAATGGTTCTAGTAACACCATCTACGAAGCGTATGCAGATTCTATGATATAACTCAATATATCTATATAACATTATACAGAAACACCCTTAACAACTTGATCAGAAAGCAGAATCTAATAAATTTTACAGCAAGAAAAAACTTTATACTTCATTTCATTTGTTTCCATATCTTCAGACATCATACTTGTTTTTAGTAATGTCATGGGAAAAGGAACACCACTTAACTGAAAAAATATACCAAACATGGGTCTCCATCACTTTATTATACTCACTGCAATTAAAAAACAGAAAAGGTACAAGGCAAACACAGTGAGAACAGATATGTTACAACCATAGCAACCAACTCTGAAACTTTGAATCAATTTTTCAGCCACATCAATTATACAAAAATAATATAAAATGTCAGCATTTATAAATATATAGAGTAAGTAATATTAAAATAATCTTTCCTTTTCCCTCAAAAAACTCATAGCGCTAATTCTTGGCTACATTACGAATTACATCTGGTGGAATGTTAGCCTTTTTTCGTTTTCTTACACACTACAAGCTTTGATTTATCCATTAATAAATCAAACAGTTACAGTTTCATGTAACTGTTTGTAAAATACCTCTAGAAGTATTTTATGCACAGTACGGATCATGTCGTCTTTACTGTAACTGTTTGCGCCTGCGCAACTGTAATGTAAATCCGCACATCCGCATCTGTAATGTTATCATCAGAGGAGTTTGAGAATCGCCATCGACGGTGTAAGAGGGCTGGTCACAGCTATGAGTTAATAATGAGTGATTGTAATTAATTATGAGAATTAATAAAGAACCGAACCAGCGAATTTAATATAGTGTGTGTTTTTGGGATGAGACTCAAACATATCTGGTCCGTAGTCGACCGGAGTGTGAGTTTTGTGCATGAATAAATAGTTGTTTCGTTTTTGAGAACACAGGAGTGTTTGTGTTTGCCAGTATTCGCAGCTTGTTCTTTTCAACGAATATCGCTGATTTTGGATAACGGATATTCATCAAAAGTGAATCACTGCAGAGGTAAGTGATTCCTCTCTTGTTAATTCTGTACTTTCTGTGCTTGTTCTGTTATAAATAACAATGTTATTTAAGGGTGCTAAAAAAGAAGATTTAAGGCTTATTGCCTTAGAAATAAATCTAAATGTTGACGAAAAAATGACTATAGCAGATTTGACTGATATTATTGAGAATAGTGAAATTTTTAAAACTAAACAAGATTTAGTAAAAGAGATAGCAAACTCTATTATCGAAAATAGAAAACAGGAAGAGCAAAAACTTGTCGAGTTAGAAAAATAAAACTTGAGAGATCAAAGAATGAGTTAGAGTTGGCTAAGCTTAAAGCAGAAACTAAACTTGATGGTGTAAGCGAAACCGAAACAAAATCAGAGTCACTAGATCAATTAATAAAAAGTATCAGAACCTTAACTGTAAAAATTCCTATACGGCCTGAGAGTTGGGGATTTTTCTTTTCGTCATTAGAACGAGCGTTTATTACAAAAAATGTTTCGGAGGACTATAAAGCAGAAATTCTGTTAAATCTGTTAGGAGACAAAGCTTCGAATATAATAACCTATTTACATGATAAGGATATCGCGAATTATGAAAAAGTAAAAGAAGTAGTTCTGAAGGAGTTTCAGCCAACACCATATTCGTGTGTTTAGAAAACTTTTAGAAAAACTGTTAAACAACCACATGAAACTCATGTGCAGTTTGCTTCACGCTTAGTAACTGCCTGGGATTATTATTTAAAATTAAGGAAGGTAACTGACTTCGAGACCCTCAAACAACTAATAGTTTCAGATAGGTTATACCAATCTTTAGATACGGGAACAGCTTCTCACATTGCAGTGAGGCAAGGTGATTCATGGTTTTCACCTAGTAGTGAGTTAGGTAAAGAAATAGATTTATATTTCACGTCACGAGGAAAACCTCTTACTGAGAATTCTCATGTTAATCGTAAGTATAACAGCTCAAAAAGTGTAGATAAAGTGTTTTTATCAGATGTTAAAACAGAGAACTGTATTTTATGCCACGAGAATCACGGGTTTGGCAAAATGCCCATCGTATTTAAAATTACCGGTACAAGAAAGAGTACAGGTTGTGAAATCTAATAAATTATGTTTTAACTGTCTACATATGCATTCAGTATCAAATTGCCCATCGAAATATTCTTGTTTTTGTCAAAAAACGGCACCACAAAACTATTCACTTTCCGAAAGCAAATATCGTAAAGGAGAAAGAATGTTCTTCATCGGAAAAAAATAAAAACAAAACAAATGTATCTGACTGCAACGTTCCCAAACGAGATGACTCATCGACCTTGAATGTTAATGCGCAGGAGTTCGTTCAAAAGGCATTAGCAATTATTCGAATAAACAGAGTACAGTTT